TCCTGTTCCATTACCGCATCCCGTGCCGAAATTTTGACGAATCTTGCTTCCCGGGTAGCGGGGTGAAATCCCGTATCTCGTCAAAAAATTGTGCATTTTCCCGAATCCCGCACTGTATTTGGTCGAATCCCGGATGCCAGGAATACCTTATAGACCCTGCAATGTCAACTTTCATTACCCTTCGCGTAAACGCAGTGCCTGTGAAACGAAACCAAAAGAAAGCGGACAAAAACTATAAACCAAAACCTGACCTCAGGTTAATACTCGTCAATATACCATTAAGTTAAACGGGCATATAAACCGGAACGTTATATAAGTTACTCTGTTGATCGCGTGCTTATATATCTTCAGGCGTGAAAACTCAGAATTATATCCAACGCTTTAATTTAATCTAGGCTTTGCTGTATGTAGTCTAAAGTACCAGATTTCAGTAAAAAAGATTCTTTAGGTGACATTTAGTTCCCTTTAGGAAAGTGAAAATATCATAAAGAGCGCACTAGATCAGATGATGAGTGAGTTGAACTCGCTCAAGGACAGTCTCCTCAAATGACGTTATACTATTGGGAATCTCCAAACAATAAGATTCACTTATTGCGAATTATGAAAGAGAACATGGCTCGACATGGCGAAATTTACGACATCAAGTGTAAGATTGAGAAGACTGAGAAAGAAAAAATATTACATTGACGATCAAGTTTCTTTAACATCGGTTCTTGGCTTTGGAGCTTCCATTTAAAATTATTTCAAAAGATTAGAACCAAAAAACATTCACTGAGAACGATCATCGTGTTGAGGGTGCCAACGGGGTTAGCAGTCAACTCTGACAATTGGCCAAAAAACCACACACATTGTAGTAAACTGATATTTAGCCGAAGATATTAGTAGTTAATTGATTAATACTGTAGCACCTCGATTTAACGAGGGGCCAAGGGACTGGCAAAATGTGATCGCTATATCGTCTCGAGGTTGTTTTCAATGCATTTTACGATTACTGGGGTAAAGAAAATTGTTCTTTATATCGAGGACTTCGTTATAATAGAGGTTCGTTATATCGAGGTTCCACTGTAAAAAGATAACAGCTAAAAGGGCTATGTTACACAAAGAAGGATAGATCAAGTATCCCATGACGCTCTGCGTCTAGAAGCTCATCGCAAGTCTCAATGATTCAGTAGTCGCAAAAAGTGGTTACAAAGGGATTTTAAAACGCAAAATTCAAACATTCAGTAGAAAGTATTTCAAGATTAGTTATTTAGCTTTCTGTTGATCTATGTTCTATTTTCCTTTGACAAATTGCGACCCTGGCTCTGATAATGGCCTTTTGTGCTCCTTTCAGATCAACATTTCGGACCTCATTACAGTTATCATCAAATATACTATGAACTAGGAGTAATCGGAGCTTAGGACAGTACGTTCGATATGTTTGTTAGGCGTACAGGTTACAGTTGAGAGCTGTTTTAAAAGCTTTCACATCTGAATTCAAACTTCGCACTAACCCTGTCAAAGCCTTTAATGGAACGTGTGTGCGGCTCACGTCAATAAGTTTTCCAGTAATTTGGTCGAGCGTGTTGATTTCAGTGACTCGAGAGTGGCGCTACTGTGGGCTGGTTTATAAGCTTTTCCTAATAAATAACATAGAGTTAAAGTGTTCGTTTGTCCGGTGCCGAAAATATCACAAGTCATGATCAAATGGCGCCGCCAAGCTTCACACCTCGGTAGATTTACTTTGTGGCACAACGGCTGCCGAGCTACACAACTCGGTAAATTTACTTTGTGGCACAACGGCCGCCGAACTAAACCCAGTTTGATGTATGGACCAGGAGTGACGAACCATGCTGAAAAATATGAAAGCTTAATCCAAAGTAAAATTTAACAGCAAACTTCTGAAAGACGAACGCTTTGGACGATTCAGCAAACACAGATCGATGTACGCTTTACGAAGATTCAGCAAACTTTTTAAAAGATAAACGCTTTACGAAGACAGAATATCAGACCTCGGCAAACCTTTGAAAGATGAACGCCACAGACACAAGAATCACCACATAAGTTAGCGCGTCAAAGTGAGGCAAAACGTAAGCAAGCGCTACAAAGCGAGGCAAATGTGTGTCGACGACGAAAGTGCAATCTCAAAAAAACCTCCCTTATTAATTGCACAGGACACCCAATAATGCACAGAACACCCAGCACAAATTAGGGGTTGCGAAATCGATTGTTGAACACAACAGCTTCTATTCAAGGGTCAAAATAGTCGGTGAGGGAAAATCTCTGTATCTTTTAAAGTGCAGGAAATGACATTTACTACCAAGGGGAATAAATTATTTTATGCAGCCTGCGCGGCGTTTTTAGTATCCCGGATGGGTACATCCGGGACTTACAATGATAGATACTTAAACATCCGAACATGTGATTTCAGGCCTCTTTCAGTTCAGCTTCGGTGCAGGGCAAACATTTTCCCACCCTATTACCCCGACCATGGTTTCGGATAAGTCCCATCGGTGCGATAAGTTCTCATTCGGTGCGTGTTTGCCCTCACCTTTGCTGGGATGAGGTTTTTATTTCCGGTTTTTGTGTAATTTGATTTGGTATTATCAATAAACGGCCACTTAACTGAGTGGCCAAATTACGGCAAATAAGGGTGTCCGTTCAGTTCTCCCAGCAAACCGAGCTCACCCCTAGCATAAAATAACTGAAACTTAAGTAAGAAAAAGAAGTTGTTCGTTTTTTCGACGTCCATTTGTATTGTCTGAAAGAGAGCTTATGAAATAATCAAAATACGTAGCACATGATCACTTAAAAATGTTGTCATTTTAGACTGAATTCATTCTTCTTTTCCTATCGAATTTTTGTGGCTTTCTGCCTCTTAGAGGCTGTCAGCCACTTATTATATCGCGTTGAGTGATTGAGTATAACAAAACAACCCGAGCCCACTGACGAACTCTACCGATTTCGATCCGATATTCCCCCATCTTAGCCCCTTTTTGTTTCGGGACATCGTCGGTTGTTCAACGTTTGTCGAGGATAGCTTCGAATGGCCTCGACTATTACTCGGAATTAGCACGTGATCACACGAGAAATTTTCGATTTGCTATGTGCTCTCAAATTTGTCGCCGTCGCCAGGAGTTCTTCATCCGTAATAAGTTTAAACCATTTAGGTGAAAGAATCAAGCGCAGTTATCTTCTCATTTATGGAGAACTTGTTAGCAGAGAAGTCAGTTTTCAATTTTCCAGAGAATGTTTGACTCCATCGAAGCGCGATCGAGTGTTTAGTGCAGTTGAACATCTCTGTGGCGATCTCAAAACCTTTTCAAGAGTCAAGTCCTTTGGGAAGCGAATAATCTCTTTCAGGGAAGCCAAGATTGCCTTCGGGGAGGGAATAATCTAAGACAGAAGCGTAAGACAATGCTTTAAAAACAATTCCACCTTCATCTGTTTTACATAGTATTGATGCAAATCATATTAAACTCTGGTGAGAAGACACTATCTATAGCTATTATTTTAAGTCAACAAAAAGTCAAAAAGATATATAATCCATCTCAACGAAGCCGTTGTTAGATCGCAGATCACAACCTCAGTTTGACCATCGTTTACTGTAGCCTGCGTGGCAGGCGTTAAAAGGGGAAGGGGAAGCGGAAATTTGGGCGCGCGAGGGAGAAAGGAAAAGAACGCCTGCAAGGACGCCATTTTTTTCTCCAAAATAGTGATTGGTCAGAATTAATTTTAATTAATTAATCGGAAAAAGGTATTAAGTCGAGGATTGACATTTTACTCTTTTTTTTTAACATCACGCCATCTGAGTAACTAAACATATGTCGTTAGGTAAGTGTGATGAGATTTCTCCACGGGAATTCATTGTTAGAAGGCATCTATTTCAGCTTAAAAAGAGAATAGAAAAAAGGAGTTAAAAAACCGTATGAAGGAAAACGCCTGTCAGCAGATGAGTTTTACTGACTGGTTCTGAAAAGTATCATCTCTCAACGGCTTGTCGGTTCTACTCGCCAGAAGAAAGAAAGGAAAAATCATGCTGCCTCTGTGCTTGTTATCTTCTATTTGACAGCTAGTCTTTCACAGTTGCGTTATTTTTGTTATTTTTTAATTAGTAGGCGGAATGGCGAAAACAATGGCTTCCTTGCAGGCGTTCCCCTCCTCCCTCCTCCCTCGCGCGTGGTCTCGCGCTCTAATTCCCTTCCCCTTCCCTTTCGAACGCCTGCCACGCAGGCTACGTTTACTGTAGCGTTTGTTATGTTTTCGTCTCTTGTTTCGTATTTGTCACGCTTGTTCTTCTTTCGTGACCTAGCATGTTCCTTAGCGTGTTTGTTTACTTTTTACATTGTAATGTAGTTTTACTGTCCACGTTGTATTGTTTAGCCGTGTTAGTAATTTTTAGCTTCGTTTCCTTTTAGCGCTATTGCCCTGTCTTCTTAACAGTGTTACTTGAAATAATTATAATAGTTATTTGGCCTTTAAAATTCATGGATGATTTACATATAATACAAACCTTCAGCAAACATCTCAAATAAAAACTATTACGTCCCGTCAAGCCCAACTCTTTGTTATTTTCTGACCTCTGTTGGACTGGTACTGATTAAACATTAGCGGGACATGTACCCCTGTATTCAAAGTAGACAGACTGCAAATTATCTTAGTTGCTAAAAAATATATATCTACGTGTCTCAACTGTTCATCAGTAGGATGCCTAAAATGCGTGCAATTCCACAATTGGTTTCGGCTCCATTAAATCCTATACCAATTGCAGAACATTTTAGGAGGAGCCACCCACCATGTGAGCACAGTCACGGACAATGTATAAGTGAGGAAAATAACGCAAAGTAAAATTAAGACGTTAATAAACGAACTAAATGTACACGTCAATTAAATAAATAAACAAATAATGCGCGCGCTCAAAATAAAATTGTACGCGCACACGTACCGAGATACATCTGAAATACAACACTATGCAGTAAATAAGTAATGTAAGGATACGATGGTGCAATTGAAGCCTGGATTGCTAATCTCATCTCCCGCAGGGCTGCACCATACTTCTCGACGATAAGACCATGGCGACTGAAGAATTTATTAAATGATTTCTGAAGTAGATTAGTGTCAAAGCCTTGCTGTCTGAGTCGTAATGAAAGTCCACGGAGTCTATTGATGAAGTCAACTTTGGACGTGCAAATTCCAGCATATCTCACCAGTTGAGATATATAAACATCGTAAGCTGGATTGGCGGGAATGTTGCTGTCCATATGAGGAAAGTTGACAATCCGCAATGCAAAGTCCTCTCTCTTATCGTACATGCTGATACGGAAGGGTGTGTTTTCGCCAGTCTTGATATTAGTGTCGAGATAACACACTTCAGTAGATGATGTGGAAGTGTCCTTAAGTTCCAATTCCGACACAGGCGGCCCAGACGTAGTATGTGTCACTGAATGAATATATTAATATTCACATGGACAAATTAATGCGATGAGTCGTCGAAACTCCAATGAACTAAAATAGTCCAAAAATTAAAATATAACAAAATAAAGCTAAGATACCTTTTACTGAACGTATCCTTGTCTTTCCTGGCCGGTTTAAATACTATCAACTAAAGAAGAAAATTCTTTCCAGTAAAATGGAAAAACCTACCTTCAGACACATGGTACGGCCATGGGCACGAAAATGGCAGTCGCCTTTTCTAACATATTCATGAACAAGGTAGAGACGGAAATCCTTAGCCAAAGCCTTTTTAAAATGCTCGTTTGGAAACGTTACATAAACGACATCTTCTCGCTCTGGACTACAAACAGAGAGAGAATAGAACATTTCATTGAACAAGCAAACAATCATCACCCTACGATCAAGTTTACGGCTGAAATTTCCGATAAGGAAACAACATTCCTGGACACCTACATCTACAAAGGCGAAAGATTCGAAAGAGACGCAATCCTTGATGTGCGTACTCATTTTAAACCAACTGAGACATTTCAGTATACCCATTTTAGTTCCTGTCACCCGCAAGGAGTTAAAAAAGGCTTCATTAAAGGGGAGGCCCTCCGACTTCTCAGAACAAACTCTTCCAAAATAATATTCGAAGAGAAAATTACAAATTTCAAAGCGCATCTGCTACAGAGAGGTTACCCAGAGGATCTCATTAACACAACCCTCTAGATCTCAGAGGTGAATTTCAAAGACAGGAAACTAGCCCTTCAACAGAAACAAAAGATAAACCTACGAATCTTGCATTTTGTCACCCAATACTAACCATCAGTGCCTAACCTAAAGCAAATTCTCATGAGAAACTGGCATTTAACAGAAAAAGAACCATCACTGAGCGAAAACTACAAAAAATCGCCCCTCGTATCTTACAAAAGAGGGCGGTCGCTCAAAGACATACTCGTGAGAGCCAAACTATGAAAAGGCTATTTAAAACACGCGCTGGGGAGTCGTGTAGGCCTGTCAACCCCATTTTACACCAAATCCGTGTTAAAATGCAACTGGCATGCTTTTTTAATGTTCTCGAGTGATGGCTCTTGATCGAGAGGAACCAGCGTCGATGGCCCCATTCTCAAGTACTTCTGGCGTTTGCCTTCCACCTGGCTAGACAACCTCTGTACGGCAATTCCATCGCTCCCTCCGGCAACAGCAGCTGCCCCTTTGTCGATTCGACTTTTTTTGGCTACCTTCTCCTTGTAATTGTCCCACGTTTGTTTCCTTTTCGACGTGTTGCACGCAGAAATGTGGCACGGGCGATTGACTGAAGTGAGAAAAAGAGCACGAGGAACGCTTCATTACGCGCGAGGAATTCTGGTCTATGGCGTTGCGGGGCTAGAGACTTTTTTTTTCTCCAAATTAAATCACTGTTTGTAAATTTTCATAAAACAAACAAATTGTATAACCAAATAAAATAAAAATTACAAAATAAATCAAAATAAAAAGTAAGAAGAAACAATAAAAGTTAAAAAGGCGAGAATGAAAAAAAATAAGATAAAAATTATTAAAAGAAAAGAAATTTTCAGAATAAAGGTAAAAATAATTAAAAGAAAGGAAATAAAAAAAGATAAAAATAATCAAAAGAAAACAAATTAACAAGAAAAAATAAAGGAGAAAAAAGAATGGAAAGTGTCAAAATTTCACCAAAAAAGTGCAAAATTGCTATGGCCTTAGCGGGCCACCATAGACGTTTCACGTAGTAGTCATGCGAAGCAACGTCAAGGAAATGTACAAAAAAGCGTGCTGCATGCAATTAGACCTATTGTTGTATTTCACAGTTCTGGTTGCCTTCGCCGCTTAACATTACACGATTTTATATTTAGTATGAACAAACCATAAATACATATTGTCGGTGTTCTGGAAATAACTGTTTAATTACTTTAAGGAAATAGGTCCAGTAGAGACAGAACCTATGCAAGCGGCTGGACAAACAAACGTTAGAAGAATCCGAAAACCAGGGCCGCCCTGTTGAAAACTTACGGACGTTCATGCGATCGCCTTTTGTTTTCTGGTGAAAACTAACGCAGCGGACCCTCGCTCAGCGTTGATTGACCTAGAAGCAATTGTACCATCCCTCCCATTGCAAGTGTTGCATTGTCGCGCAGACGCGGTCGCTAAGCTTGAATATTCACGTCGCGTATTATACCTGGTCGTTTGCGGTCATATCGAAGCGTAAAGGTCAACAGTGGTTGTTGATGAGCGAGCAATTATTGTGCAGTTGCGATGGGTTTTGTGGAGCAAGCGAGCCAGAAGCAGGAGCACACGTTACCTGCAGATTAGCCGATGGTTATTTGGAGCGGATTCGTCGATTATTCTCGAATTTATAGCGCTTCGTGTGAAGGCGCGTGGAGATGGTCTGTTTGTTTTGTAGCCAGCCTTTAATTCTTCTTTAGTGGATAGTATTTAAACCGGCCAGGAAAGACAAGGATACGTTCAGTTAAAGGTATCTTAGCTTTATTTTGTTATATTTTAATTTTTGGACTATTTTAGTTCATTGGAGTTTCGACAACTCATCGCATTAATTTGTACATGTGAATATTAATATATTCATTCAGTGACACATACTACGTCTGGGCCGCCTGTGATTCCGACGGGTAAATTGCGCTGATGTAATTTCCAAAGTCCACATTGTTAGCACTGAATAAATCGTCGATGTACGGAAAGGTGTTGCTGAATTGGATGGCTTTTGTAATATCCTGTTTCATTGTTTTGACCATGAAATCGTACTCGAAGGTATGAAGGAAGAGATCAGCCAATAAAGGTGCACTGTTGGTGCCCATTGGTATACCAATAACCTGCCGGAAAACATAGCTTCCAAAACGAACGTAGATGTTGTCGATAAGAAAGTCAATAGCGAGACAAAGCTCTCTACAGGAGAAGTACGTGTACCTCGTTGACGTTCTATCATTCGTCCAGAAGGTGCGAAAATTATTGGTAGCAATGAAGCTCTTTCCTTTAGTATTAAGAGCGACTCCGCGTAAATATCAACTAGACGTGGAAATACTTAAAACATGACCTGGCCTCAAACTCAGCCAGAATAAAGCCCTATGGGCCCTAGTTACAAAATCGTTGGTTTAAGTACGATCGAGTGAATAATATTTTTTTAACGAATTTTTTTCTTGCGGAGGCCTAAAATGGGAAAAAATCATGCGAAATTGCGAGTCATATTCTGTAACTCGTACATTTTAAAATAAAGTTGGCTACTAAAATATAATGACACTTCATGTTTTTACTATCTTTCTTCTATAATTTTACCTGATTAGTTCGCGATTTGGTCAACAAGAGATTTTTTAAGAAATTTTCAAAGTTGTTGACTCAAAATCGCTTAATCAACCGTCAAAATTTAGCACTTTTTCACTAGCTAAAAAAGCGGATTGGTACATGGCTTTGAACACCAAGGCTTGTTTAGTCTGAAAGAGCATTCTTTTTTCTTTAAATTAGCGAAATAAAATTTTTGGGTAAATGAAATCACGAGCGCTGACAAAGCGAAGCAAATGTAAATGTTACACTAGAAACGGACGAAAAAACGTGACCGCTGACCGGTGTATGACATTTGCAGACTGCAGACTGCAGACCGCAGACTGCAGACTGCAGACTGCAGACCGCACACTGCATGAGGCAGCAAGACTGTTAATGAAACCAAATTATTGTAATAAAGGTGGCGTCATCATCAACATTACCTTGTTCCGAGAAGTAAAGCCTAGAAGCAAAGTTTATATTTTTTACGTAAATTACACAGATGTCACTCCTAAAGGAGCTGTTGGCTGTTCTTTTCGTTTTGAATTAAAGCAGAATAATGTCTGCCGGTGTCACAAACTTGCTCATGATTCCATAGCAACCGTCTAGCAATTTAGCCTACACCACAGACGAAATTAAACTACGGTTATATAAGTCTGTCTGAGAAACAGCGCCGGAATCCTTATTCTACGGGGTCCTCACCTGTGTACTTGAACTTGAGTATGAGCAGTTATTTTTCTATTTAGAAATTCAAAATGCAGTTCTTGTAATTCGTCGAGTCCAGGTAGGATCTGTTCATTTTAGATTATTTAGCATATCCCTGAATACTGCTAAGATGAAATACGTCATTTAAAAGGTGTTAAAAGTCCTTGATCTATCCTAGTTGTTTTTGTCGACGTAACTGTAGTGAGCACGAAGACTACTATTTAGACAGGCATTAGTGGGCATTGCTACTTGTCATTATCAATTCACAATAATCAAAGAAGAATAAAGAATCAACGCAACTAGTGATATTCCGGGTGAGTTGAGAAAGGGTCGAAGAAGAATAGCCAACAGCATCTTGGGAAAGAGTCCATTGTAACTTTGCGCAAAAATATCGATCAGGCTACTTTCTCACTTTCAAACGAGGTTATATTTTTGATGACGTCACCCAGCTTTATTAGGAAGATTTTTGGCGTCATTTAATTTACAGTCTGCAATCTGTGATCTGCAGTCTGCAGTCTGCAGTCTGCGGTCTGCGGTCTGCGGTCTGCGGTCTGCAGTCTGCAGTCTGCAGTCTGCAAATGTCATACACCGACCTCTGACCGAAGCACAACCAAATGCGAATTACGGTAGGCGCCAAACCTTTAATTATTCGGTAACTTCTCGAAACAATATTGGTCTGACATGTGTATAGATTTTTTAAAATAAAGCTGAGTTAAAGTATTAAGTGTCAAAAGGTCCACAAAGCGGTAAAAAATACAACAAAATTCACGAGTATCAAATCTGTTCCGTTTTCTGCTGTGAATTTTATGCAGCGATTTATGCGATTTAACGAATTAACAATTTTTAATCCAACGATACCCACCTGAGACTGTGTTAGTTTAAGAGTCCATAGAACTTCTCAGAAGATTCCTCGGAAAGACCTCCAGAAGGAAATGAACGAAGAATTTGAACTTATAACTGTAACAATCACTGAACAATTTCACTTGCCGCCACGGCAAAACGAAAACAACTGTCGAACTGCCCCAGGCAGACCAGCTTTCAGTGCAGTCATGCAAGACATGTCACGTCACGTAATTCTACCCCGTGCATTTGGGAAGGAGGGAAGAAATTCTTCCATGGTGTGTGCTAAAACATTTATGAAATAAAAATAGCTTTGGCCTGTATCTTTTGTAACTAGTTAAAGAAAAGAATAACTTTTTCCCCTGTTTTTGCTCGAGGGGCGCTGTGCACTTCTTTTATTTTAGCTGCTGTTTATAATGAGATTCTGTTTCAAGTTCAGAACGTGCATCTATAGCTAACAATCGGGTGTGTTCGAACTACCATGAACTACAGAATGCTTTAGAAAGGATATCAAAGGGCACCAAAGCAGTGGCGGATCCAGTGGGAGGGCCCGGGGGTCCGGATCCCCTATCAGACCTGATACTTGTTTGAGACTAAAATCCTTACAACGATAGTATTGTATATCACTGTTTAACTGGCTGACTTTTTTAATGAAACGCGTGTTGTATTTTGCCACCAAACTAAATTCCAGGGATATTCAAGAATGTGATTTTCTTTGGTACCCTACTATGATCTGTTCGCCTCTGCTTGCAAAGCAGTATTTCCCGCGCCAACGGCGACTGGTTTTCACAGATTGAGAACAAGTAGTTGTCTCTGCCTTCTCAGTGTGTAGTGGGAGGGGGTGTGGGGAAAAAGTAATTTGCCACAAAAAAGTTCAACAGTCCTTTCTGAACCAAAATTTGGACCTTCTCCTACCCCAATGAAAAATTCCTGCATCTCCCCCTGCAAAGATGTTACTCTGAGTTCGGAGCCAATCAAGGCTTATGCTGGCGCGTGCAAGTAAATCATTTTTTTTCGAGTTATATTAGAGGCTCACTTATAGGACGAAAAACAGTATAATTTTATTTATGTAATATGAAAATTGTGCCTGATCATGTGTATCCTAGAGGAACAAGAGACATATTTGTTGCGAGCCTTTCTAATTATTCGATTTGCTGTGGTTCGGTGGCTCCTTTTGTTGAAACATCCGTACTAAAAGCCAACAACAGGGACTGAGCTCTTCGGAAGCCAATGAACTAATGGCCGCATCCGGATCTCAAAAAAAGATTTGGATAAGTTGAAAGGACGAAATCGAAGGAACTGATCAGCGAAAAGAGAAAATAAACCCAGTACAAACAAAATTAAGAATATACATGATATCATTCTTTCCGATATTAGTCGGTTTGCAACACAAACCTTTTTCGGGGGCTGATACTGTAGGGTCGTTACCAAAATTGAATTTAAAACTAAAGCACATAATTATAAACATAATTGGTGATTACAAAGGTAGTCTAATAAACCTGAACTGACGCAAGTAAGGAACCAAAAATAACGACCTGGCCCTTGCTGATCAAACGACCGATCATTTTTCCAACGGATACCGTGTGGAACGAAATTTTTGCGGGAGTTTGTTTTTGCGGATTGACGATTTTTTGTGTTTTGCGGGAACTAATTTTTGCGATTAGGACGGACTGGTTTTTCTTGCTGGGGATTAATCAGGGGCACCCAACGAGAACACAGTTTAAAACCACTTAAACATACCATTGTTAAACGTATTTTAGTATTTAAACGGTATAGATACAGGCATATTTTTATCCCCTAAAAATTTTTCATCTGTTCGGATTTTCTAGCCGAAAGTCTAGTGATCCGAAAATTATAGGGATCAAAACTTACCCTTTCGAAAATTTCAGCCAGAAAAAAGGCTCCCGAAAATTCTAGTTGACCTTTTAAAGGTAAAAATCCTTTAAAAATGGGCAAATATACCATTTTTTAGATGTTCGAAAATCCTAGGAGAGGCAGGCAAGCAACAAATTTTACAACAAATGTTCCGAAAATTCTAGATCTCAAATCTTCTTCCGAACAGATATTTTCCGAAAATTGTCGTTGGGTGCCCCTGATTAATTTTTGTCATTTCAGAAAGTACCCAGTACCCAGCATTGATAATATTTTTGTTTTTATTGAGTACGTGCAACAGAAATACATATTTTCAAACAATACTAAGTGTGCATCAGTATTTGTTTCTGAAACATGAGACCAGTTGTAATTGAACAGAGACGATTTCTTGGTACTGTATTCTTGTGAAGTGAATTTAAGTTAAGAGAATACAGAATTTCCTCTGGAGTTGCGGGAAATATTTTTGCGGTAATTTTTATTTGCGGGAACTTATTTTTGCAAAGTACTGACAGTCATGAAATCCTATCAATAAAATTCAGCAGTGAGAGAAATAGTGAAAATGACAAGAAGACAGAGGGGAAAAAATAATAACAGATCAGTCCACTGGGTTTAAAATTGTTTAGCCTGACATTTTATGAAAGCGAACGGGAATGACATATTTATTTCTTCTGGAGCGATGATTTTTTTTAAAAGCACGTTTCAAAGCAAAAATTTGCCAAAGCTTTAACTGAGAGCCATTGCTAGATTCTATGGCACTTTTTCTCGTTCCTTTTTTTTCTAGTTCTGTTTGGTCACATGAACCGTGATGTCAGCTTTTTAAGTTAAGATAACCATATTTAGGCTGTTGTGGACATGTCTCATATTATCTCAGTCGTGATAGATGAAACCTTTATTACACTTAGGTTCAAATGTTATTACGGATGGACCTTTATTACACTTGGGTCCAGTTATAACACTTGTGCCTTCCACAAGTTCCACGGTCAAGAAATCCGGATCTCTGAAGCGAATTTGGCCTAAGAGGCAACCAAACATTTAGCCTCCCTTGGTGGCATTTTCAGGGGAGTCATATTTTCCCATATTTCCTCCCTTACCTGAGACCAAGATATGTGTCATTTATACCAGTGTGCAGATAAAGCGAAGGGCAAATCAGAAAATTGAAGGTAACGTTGTTGAGATCAAAGGTGAAAAAATAATTCACACTTTTCGTTTGTGGGAAGGGAGGAATTACGAATCCCCTAAAAACGACTGCTCATCAAGTTCAAGATTATATCAGCGGAAGAGGCGCCTTTGCCCTTAAGCGAGGGCAAAAATGAAACAGTCCAAAACTTATTTTATTTCTTAAATGTTTTAGCGCACAGCGTGGAAGAATTTATTCCCTCCTTCCCAAATGCACATGGCCGAATTACGTGACGTGACATGCTTTGCATGACTGCACTGAAAGCTGGTTTGCCTGTGGCAGTTCGTCAGTTGTTTTCGTTCATTGCCGTGGCGGCAAGTGAAATTGTTACAGTTATAAGTTCAAATTCTTCATTCATTTCCTTCTGGACGTCTTTCCAAGGAATCTTCTGAGAAGTTCTATGGACTCTTAAACTAACACAGTCTCAGGTGGGTATCGTTGGATTAAAAATTGTTAATTCGTTAAATCGCTGCATAAAATTCAGAAAACGGAACAGATTACTTGTGACTTTTGTTGTATTTTTAACGGCTTTGTGGACTTTTTGACACTTAATACCTTTACTCAGCTTTATTTCAAAAAACCTATACACATTTCAGACCAATATTGTTTCGAGAAGTTACCGAATAATTAAAGGTTTGGCGCCTACCGTAATTCGCATTTGGTTTGTGGTCGTTTGTGCTTCGGTCAGAGGTCACGTTTTTCGCCTGTTTTTAGTGTAACAATTCCATTTGCTTCGCTTTGTCAGCGCTCGTGATTTCATTTACCCAAAAATTTTATTTCGCTAATTTGAAGAAAAAAGAATGCTCTTTCAGACTAAACAAGCCTTGGTGTTCAAAGTCATGTACCAATCCGCTTTTTTAGCTCGTGAAAAAGTGCTAAATTTTGACGGTTGTTTAAGCGATTTTGAGTCAACAATTTTAAAAATTTCTTAAAAAATCTCTTGTTGACCAAATCGCGAACTAATCAGTTAAAATTATAGAGAAAAGGTAGCAAAAATATGAAGTGTCATTATACTTTAATAGCCAACTTTATTTTAAAATGTACGAGCCACTGAATATGACTCTAATTTTGCATGATTTTTGCCCATTTTAGGCCTCGAGAAGAAAAAAATTCGTTAAAAAAATATTATTCACTCGATCGTACTTAAATCAACGATTGTGTAACCAGGGCCCATAGGGCTTCATTCTGGCTGAGTTTGAGGCCAGGTCATTTTTTGACTATTTCCACGTCTAGTTGATATTTACGCGGAGTCGCTCTTAAAAACTCTTTCCAAAAGATCACGGAGTTGCTTTTTAAGTTGGGCGTGTGGAAGGCTAGTATAAAGTGTCGAAAAATCCCAAGTACTCACATGATTTAGGGAAAGCTGTTTTTCCTCCAGTACACGGATAACGTCCAACGAATTGTTGATGATCCACATGCAGTTAACACCTGTCCTTACTCGATTTCGTGTTTTTGTGCCATATTTATATTAACGCGTGTTTCATCGATCAATTAAAGAACGCTCTTTTAAATAAATAAACCTCGTGTAGTAAAACATTTTCTCGCTCTTCTTATAGAAGCGCAACATTGATACGACACCCTTTTCCTTTGATGAAATAAGACCATGAGTTAGAAATCAAATCATAGAAATTCATTGCCTTGAAAATATCATACCGTAAAATTCCGAAAATAAACCCCGGGGCTTATATTTTTCTAGACTACGAGTAGTCCCCCATTTTTCCTCAGGGATAGTAGAGCGTGCGAAACGTGAGCGCGCGTGAAAATCACCCCACGCGAGAAAAGGCGACACGCGGCGGGGAGAGAGAAAAATGAGGGACTACAGACAAAGCCCAAGCTTTTGAACCTTCCCGGCCGACTGATTTTGGCGTGTAAAGTTCGTATCCCCTTCCCGCGTGTCGCCTTTTCTCTCGTGGGGTGATTTTCACGCGCGCTCGCGTTTCGCCCGCTCTACTATCCCTGAGGAAAAATGAGGGACTACTCGTAGTCTAATATTTTTCAAAGGCCCTTTTTGAGGGGCTGATTTTCGGAGTGGCTTATATTCGGAGGGAAATTTGCGTTCCAAAATCGATTGAGCTAGCTTGTAGTGGGAAGGAAATTTACTTTTGTTTTACTTTGTATTCGAGGACAAATTCCAAGTACAAGCCCCCCGGGGGGGGGGCTTATATTCGGAGGGGTGATTTAACGGAGGGGTTTTTGCGTTACGATTTTGGGGGGCTTATACATGGAGGGGCTTATTTTCGGAATTTTACGGTATGTATACAGGAACAGTAATTTTTGGTGTTGAGTCCTATCTACGGCTGAAAACTTTACAATTAAAAACCTGCGCAGAAAACGTCCTATTTTTGTCATGGAGAACATTTTTTTGTAGGAAAGTACAGTATTTAAAGCACGAACGAACTGGCTTTTAAGAGGACTGTAACTTTGCCCGAGTTTTCATTTTGCCGCCTTCAGATTTGATGCGCCCACCCTATTGTCGTTCTTCGGTTGCATGCATGCGCATACAAAATGCCCTCCTGATGGTTTGTTGGCTTGTTATCAGGCTAGGTTCGGGGGAAGGAATAGGGCGGGACGGGGGTTTGCAATAAGATAATTTTTAAGCGCAATAAGATAATTTTAAAAAGTCGCGAAAACAATCTCGAAAAAGTTGCACTAAAAAGATGGATGGCAACCATCAGGCTCAGGCTCCGTACGGGCACAAAGAGCACGGACAAGATTTTGGAAAAAACTGTCCTAACCGAGTTAAAGGGGAAGAAAGACCGAAAACGTTGCCTATTTTGGATGTTACAGCAAGGAACCCAAACGTGTGACCTCCTTTCATCAACTCCATTCTTTCATGCAGTCATTAACCAATCACAACTCGAGGACAGTTTCTAGCTGGCTTCTGATTGGATTAAATCTGCACGAAATAATGTAAATAAATCAAAAGCGATCACACTTTGGGCTCCTTGCTATAATTGTTATTGGCTCGGAAAACTAAGAAATCGCTCGGCTGGTACTTGGGTCGACCTTACTTCAGTTAAGTTAGACTAGCGGGTCCCTGACGTCGAACTTGGCTAAGCATCGAACTAAGTTCAAAAGTAATAAAGGGCGCGAAAAATTTCATAGTCATCGGTGGAGGCCTGCTTTGTAGAAACCCGTTTATAACACACACTTCTCTTTGTTCCGACAAACAGCTCAATATATTAATTTGTAATGAATAAACAGTATTTTACGGAAACCCAGATAATACAAACACTTTATTGGCATGTCCCCTTGATATCTGTATTTTTGTCCCGAGAAGACCTGTACACTTCCTATCCGTCTGAGGTGGACTAGAAGAACCTGTTTGTCGATCCGGCAAACTTTGATATTCAGACGAGCTAAACTAAGACAATGATTAAATGGCATGAGCGGCTTTATTTAAAGCGGATACTTGGAAAAAATACAATGAACAAAAACGGACATAAGGCTCACTGCAAACCAAAAAGTATAAGAACAATCTCTCGTAACAGATATAACTTATTCATATTATATAAATCGGTTGATATTAAATCAAGGTATTTACATCCAAGTCAGCAATCGACCATTTGCACGATGGCGTCATTTTACTACAAGTACTTTTACCACCAGGAGCAATTTCGTTTTTCCATTCATGTTTAAATTTTGTAATCCCAGCGAGGTTTAAAACACAAAAGTTCTAACACTGAAGCATTCTGGTAGTACTAGTAAATGACGTCATTCTGGAATGGCCTATTTATTATACAACTAGTACTACACCTTTTGCTGTTCATTACGAGAAAATACGCATTTATTTGCGTGAAACGGCGACCAACAGCGCGAAGATACATTCATTAGCGCGAAAAAGCGAACATTTGCGCATAAATCAGATTCAATAACGATTTTTGCATTTTAATCAACATTCAAAAACAAATTGGGCATTCATTTGCGTCATTCGACATACAAAAGAGAAAAATATACTTTCATTAACGACAACATTCGAGTAATTAACATCATCTTGAAAATCATTAGGGACAATAGACAAACATTTAAGTGCAAACGCTATTCATTAACATTTTTATGACACTGTTTGCAATTCAATAGCATTCCTGGACAGCTTTAGAATGGATAAGACAAACATTAATGCGCTTGTACAATCAATTGAGCGTTCTTTACATTGAATATACAAAAATCTATTTTCGATATCAATTCCCCTCCAAAATTGGCCTGAATTTGTTTAAAGAGTCTCGCCGTACTTCGCCACTGCGTGTTCGTCGACGGCTGCGGCTGTACATTTACCCTAGACGGCCAGAAATCATGGTGGGGCGCGACAGGGAGTGGAGGGCGTATCGCCAAGTGTGCAGCCAACGAGGACGAAACTTGACCATGACCATGGCAATATCACCTATCAAATGTTTTCCTCGGCAGCTGCTGGAGTAATGAATACTGTGTCGGTTTTTTTTCTGGCACGGGCGAGGAAAAAATGGATCCCGATAAGTCGGTGGTCTTTGCGTATGACGGGGTGCTAGCCCACCTAGATTTGGCCATTCCCGCCCCATAAGTACACAGCTTATGCTTTCCCCCTCGACATCGTTGAAAAGGATTTAAGTTGTCTGAAAGAGACACCAAAGGCCAACATCTCGAGTCCGGAAATTTAAAGGTGTATAACAGGAACGAGGGCAAAGTCCTAGCAATTCACTAGCAGAGTTCGGAAACAACAACCTTAGTGCTTGAAGCTCTGCGCAGAAACATGACATTGTGACCGCAGTTAAATGTGCTAAGGGGTAACACGTCATGCAAACCTACTTCCCAAAATGTTTAAATAGCGAGATTTTTTAGGGATATACATTTAACGGAGTGAAATTCGAGCCAAATTTGTTTGAATTTCTATTTTGTAATTGAAAATCGTTTTTTGTATATTAAATGTAAAGAACACTCAATTGATTGCACAAGCGCATTAATGTCTGTCTTATCCATCCTAAGGTTGTCCAGGAATGCTATTGAATTGCAATCAGTGTCATAAAAATGTTAATGAATAGTGTTTGCACTTTAAAGTATGTCAGTTGTCCCTATTGACTTTCAAGATGGTGTTAATGACTCGAATCTTGGCGTTAATGAAAGTATATTTTTCTCTTATGTATGCCCAATGACCCATATGAATGCCCAAAAGTGTTATTGAATGTTGATTAAAATGCAAAAATCGTAATTGAATCTGATTAATGCGCAAATGTTCGTATTGACGCTAATGAATGTACCTTCGCACTATTGGTCGCCGTTTCACCCAAATGATTGCGTATTTTCTCGTGATAAACAGAAAAAGGTGTAGTTGACACTACAGCTGCCACCGCTCTGCATATTGTCGGTCAATAGCATTCTTGCTCGTTGTGTAGCTCTTTGAAATATACCGATTCATAAGGAAGATTTTCACACATATTCCATACAATAGGTGAGATAAATACAGGAAACGCAAGGTTCCATGCACAGTTTCAGGTCGATTTACACATTGATCAAAACATTCTCAGTTTCGAGAATAATTTATTCTAAACCATAAGAAAAGATTTAATTAGAAGATGAATTTTTCGCTTTTTCTCTTTCACTTTTTACATTCAGTTCATTTTGTTTGCCGAAAGGAAGCCTTAGAAATTAAAAGGACGTTTGATCCATTAACACTCGCGTATTCTAATCTTATTTTAAACGAAAGATTTGTGAACTCGTGTCTGGCAAACTCTCCAAGTGCTTATATATACATAGTTATGCGCACCTTATAACTTCTTCTGCCCTTAACGAGTGTCGTTAAAATTTTGCTCCATAACTTTCACTAAAACAACTGCTCCACAGAATGTCACTGATAAAACGTAACGCAAAAGAGTGTCGAAGTATGACTGCACAATAAATGTCACAAAATCTACCTAAGCAGTTCCTTGGGGATGTTCTGTCTTTACGTCATCCTACCCATTTCGTACTCGCGGGCGCAAACAATAGAAACGTCATCATTACCTTCCGATTCGTTGCTGCCCCTGTTCAAGCAAATCGAGATTTTTTCTATATTGACTGTATGACTGTAAGTACTTTCCTTAATATACGCGCGAGTTACTAGAATGCCTCCTCGGGATTTCGCCTTCTGGGCGAAATCCCTGCGGGGGCAACAATCCCCCCAAGGGGAGGTGAATAGTGGTAAACATATACCGAGACGCTAAGCTTCGAGGTATATATCTAGCTCTGTTCACCGACCATGAGGGAGATAGTTGTTTCAGTATTTACCAAATCAGTTGGATAAAAATGAAAAAGGAAATTTTCGTAAACTAAAAACGTCACTCAATGGAAACTTTGTTTACAATATACAAACATTTCGGGGATTTTGTCAAGTGCATTTTTACGGTTTTGTTGCAAATTCAGCATGAAAATAATTTTGTACCTACTAATAAACACCGACAAGCCGGAGTTCGTCGCTTTCTTGGTATGTGTTTGTACGACTGCTTCATTTATCGTTTAAATTAATGTCTCGAAACGAGACACCATCTTGACTCCGGTCGCAAAAGTGAAAAGCCAAGGATACTCCGAGTTACGGGAGCGAAACAAAACGCGCGAAAATTGCTATTCAGTGATTTGGTAAATACTAAAACCTTTTATTTATGGTCCTCGCCTCTTGGAGGAGTGCGTTTTTGTAAATGAGTAAATTCGCGGTTTAAAAAGTTGAAACTTCTACAGCCAATAAGACTACACAGTTGTATATAAAAACAGACGTCGACACAAATTTTAGCGAACGTAAATTTTCCAGAAATCACCAGTGTTCACGCCAACAAGCATATCATCGCATTCCCATCTTTTCGCTTGGCCACCACTGTAGTCTGGATGATTAAGCGCCCAATGATATAAATCAAAAACAAAAGCAGGGTGGTCGTATAATCTCTCTTGATCAAATCCGGCATGGCCCCATTTAGCTACGTCGAATGAGCCACTTTCGAATCCCCACTTTTGGCAAACACCAGCTGACGCTGAATTGTCATTTTTCATTCTCACATAAGAGCCACACGAGGCAGGCTGGACATCCGTCTGACCACTGAAGTACTGGACTACAGCTTCACCAGTGCTGTTAGCAACAGTGGTCACATGGAACGTACGTCCATTGTTTTTACTGCAGTGGAATCTTAGTTGGGTGAAAGACAAGTGTGTTCTCAGCTCATTCATGGCGGTTTTTGTGAGAACCATCTGATCACTGGTTATTCCACGGTATGAAGTCTTGATTGGCAGCTGAGAGGGAGGAGTTGAGCTTTCCATCGTGATGTTGGAAACGAGGAGCCAGCCTCCTGAAAGAAAAATGTGAAGATAAAGAGGTTTTTATTGAAGTTCTACATCTTTTTAAATCAACAAAAATGGTTGTATTAATAGCGGAGCTGACACGAGCGCTTCTATCTATCAGGCAAAAATGATACTCACGTGACCGTCCGTCTGCACCTTAGGGAAACCGATATTAAGTCACACTTTCTAGCTGGTGTTGGAGCCTGCAACCTCATACTGCACATTCATGTCGTGGTAACCAAAACAGGGTATCCACTGACAAGTATGTTCTAGTATCACATGAGCGAATCGAGGCGTCAGGTGTTGACCCATCGAATTTTCGTTTGTTGTAAGTTATCCGCTGACAGGTTACTAAGTTTCAAAGATTCGCAGGCTCAATTCCAATTTTCTTTTCAATACACAGGAAAAAGGCTGTGTTTATGAGCTACACAATTACGATTTTGACTTCAAACTTACTTCGGACGCGAAAATTCAGCCCGTTTTTAACAGGATGGGAAGGCAGTTGCTTTTGGCATTTCCCGCCATTGTCACGCGTTGACCATGCTTTACGTCCCATTTTTTTCTCAATTCGTCACAATGTGACAGGTGAATTGATACTGAAAATTTATGCAGCATTTGGAAACTTGTTTACTGATAGCTGAAGCTCAGAGTTTTGTGTCATCTTATGATGTTATTAACCGTCTTTTCCCACTGGATCTACAAAATGAAATACAGCTCGCTATCAATATTCTTGTTATTCATTGCTAGTTTGTTTATTGGGTTTATGGTTGAGAAATTCGGCGATTGTGAAAGTCATCGAAAATCCGATTTTGGATGGCATCATTTTCAAAAATGAGCTTACTCTACTTCACCTTGCTGGATGCGTAAGAGCTAAGTGTTGAAAAATCGCAAGCGATTCTAGCTTTTCTTGATGGCTTTCAGGACCTGCATCTCGTCTGGTAAGCTTGAGCAATTATGCATCAGTCAACAGAAACTCCGGCCCCCCGATCCCTTGGACTCAGCAAGGAACTTAACATTGACACCGCTATTAATTCCCCGCTCCCCAGGCCAATTTGTTAGAAGCCCCTTATAGCGGGGCATTAGTAGATGTAGTTCTCGGCTCAATTTCAACTGCTCTCTAGGGTCCGGCGTTCTTTCTCTTCAAGAACCGGCACCTTTCCCGACTAGCAGCTGATTCAGAATTGGTCACACCTGGACTCGCTTCTGAAGTCAACCATATATTTTCAACAGTACTGCGAGCAACTGCAGTGAATTTGACCTCTACATACCAATTCGATCACAGTGTACATACACTAAAAGCAACTCACTTGCGTGATGCAAGTAAGTCAGTGTGTTGCTTTGCTTTAGTCCAGCGTAATCGCGAGATGCGAGGTCCTGTGGCTACCCCAAAACCTGCAACCTGCTTGCCATGTGAGTCGCCTACAGCTCTGTTGTTAGAGCGTCCTACCGGTATTTGGAAACTAAAAACATATTAACAGGCCGGAGCTTCGCTTTTATATTAAGAACAAACAATCTTCAAAAGTAAAGAAATAAACAACGATGTCGCCGTTTCTTGTTGCATCGTCTTTATTTCTTTTTGGAATGTCCCTTAGACTGAGTTGTTTTTTCCAGCTATGCAAATAATTGGCAACGAGCGGCCTCGCGAAGACGCGGGGCTGCGAGACGGCGTCATAATAAAGACGTGCGCGAAAGTTGTAAGGCAGAATGAATCTCGAAGCGATGTAACAAAAGGTAGCGTTACATAATTTTTATGACGTAATGCAGAAAAAAGAATATAAAAAAAATCTATGTACTCTTTAAGTAGTAGAACAGTTTTGTTCACAATGTTCAAGGTAATTTTCCGTCATGCAATCGAATTGAGTTCAAAACATTTTTTCGTAAATTACGGTAATTCTTGACATTTCTAAACAAGTTGAACAGCGCGCCCGTGTAGGCAAAATCTTTGCTTGTTGGCACTTAGCGATAGCTGTAACTAGTTCTACTAAGCGATGGAACAACAATGTGATGTACGTACGTGCCTTGAGCATACCTGTATCACTTACGTCTGCTTCGCATGGTTAAATTTATCCCAGAAAGAAATGACACGATTTCAAGAAGTTGCATTGACTAAGTACAGTTAGGAGTTTAATTTCACTTTCCAGTTCTTTGGAAGACGCAATAATTGGATGAGGCTGAGTATGATGGAAAGAATTATGCACATCGATGAGGATGGTATTAACCGAGGCGGATAACGCCCTTCGAGATCGGCATGATTCTTCAGATCATATGAAAGCCGAATACGATAATTGTTTTCACCGATTATTTAAAATATTTCCAACCAAAAGAAAATAAAGGGGCTTTATCCTCTCCTTTTCCAACTTACAAACAAGCCAATCTTAGCAGTTTTAAATTATGAGGATGTATATTTTAGCAGACATCCTTCAAACCCGGCAGTTGTCATTGATTGATCTGAGTGACTTTGTTAGACAGTAGTTCGCCTGTCTCTTACGCATAACGTGTGAAATCCTCCGGGAGAGGGGGTGGGGGAGTTTGGAGAGGCGCCTCCGACCCCTTCAAACCCTGACCCTGTTTAACACAATATATCCTTTATTTTGCTACCATGTGAAAGACATGAGACCTTCTTTCACGACTCCGACTCATTTCGATTCACACAAGAAATTTAGAAGTGCTTTTTAAAGCAACATAAAGATATTACAGTTTTTTGAAAAAATATGGGTACCTCTCATGTAGACCGCGCATAGCCAACCTTCGCTTCCAATCCGAGAAGCACCTTGTTCAAGACGTAAATTTGTAAAATTGCATTACCCTGAAAACCATACCCTGTTCAGCGGCACGTACTAGTCTTGGCCAAATTAGAGAGTGTCCCCCGGGTGAAAGAAAAATCCTCAGCTTTCCTAAAACAGCTGAACTACTGCGCGTTCTGCTGTCCCTCACTCAAACTATATCGGTACAATTGACGTCTAACGTCTTCCAAACTTGATAATGGTACCTTTTTGTTAAGAATAAGCCGAAGTATTTAGGCCAATCGGAAACGGAGAAGTGTTTGAATTAATAAGAATTGCTCACGATTTCAGATTTTTTAGGAGCAGATCTCACCTTCGTCTGTTGTCATGTCACAGTAAACTTTTAACGGGTTTCCACTGTTCTGAGGGTCGATCCAGTACCTCCCGTCTCCTTTGGAGTCACCAGAGTCCCGAATGCTCTTACAGGAATAAGCAGGCAGCGTGGAATTCCAGCCTCGCTTTGCTACAGCAGAAAATAAAACAAATCACTATTTATGGTAAATATTTCCTCCACCGTGAAGCAATTGCAAAGTAAAATTTAAAATGATGACAATGACCAGTTTGTTTTTTCTTGTTGGTGGGGAAATCTTGGCAGGAAACCTGAGAAGAAAATAACAAATTGAAATGAGAGACATTAAATAATACAGGAGAACTATAGATGACGTCATCGCATGGTTAGTAGCTTTTATAACTTTTTTTTGCTTTAGAAGTCATATAAATAAATATTGTTATTGTAAATATTTTTTCGTTTCTGATTGGCTAACAGTCAAGGTAGACAACACCCTCCTCGATCTCTATAATTCTTCAGATGATACTCAGCAACATTCAATAATTGTTAAATATGTTAATGTACCGTCTTTCTATTTCCTACCATACGCGATATTTACCGTGTGAGTAAAAACAAATATGTACTTTAAGACACAGGCAAAACTGTACGACAAATTATTACTTAAAAATCAGTCGACAAAAGTACCATTTACGATGTCAGAGTTCTGCAAAAACAACAGGTAATTCATGAGAAGACCTTGATACTCCACAGAATATGAACCGGAAAGTCTAAGAGATTTTATAATACTTGCCTATTTGACGAAAATCAATTCCGAAAAAACCAAACAAGGTGAACGTCATAAACAAGCGTTTAAACTAGTTTTTCAGAGTTTAGGTTTTTTAAAACAGCAGTTTTGAAAACAAACCGGTAATTCATGTTCAAACAGTAGACTTCACCTTAACTTGTTCGTAATAAGAAGATCCTTTCTTCTCAACAAAATCATCAGGCTTCATCTTCCATGTTTCGTTATTCAGCTCACAAAATCGTTTTGCAATATCTGCACCAGGATGAACATTAAATGACTTGCAGCTGTCATTTCTGAGACAATTTTGGTGACATTCAAACTCGTCAACAACAGTTGATGTACTCACGACATGACCAACTAAAACACGGTCTGAAAGATAAAGTAATTAAAAATGGAGGAATTTGCAGAGAACATTAGAGTTGAACATAAACCCAGCTATGACATACCGTAAAATGCCCAAAATAAGTCCCTCGACGTATGAGCCCCTCTAAATATAAGTCCCCGAAACTCGTAACGCAAAAAATCCTCCGTTAAATCGCTCCTCCAAATATAAGCCCTGGGGGCTTGTACTTGGAAATTGCCCTCAAATTCAAAATAAAACAAAGCAAAAACTGTATAGTAACAAATAAATTTTGGCATTTGCCAAAGAAGTATTATTACGCGTCCAAATGATTGCAGCCAAAAAGTGTCACCGTATATTGCTGGTGCGGAGTTCACTTTTAACTCTTGGCTTGGATTTCCCTGTTCAATATAGACAAATTACTTGGGTGACTTAGTTTTAGTAACATCTACGTCCTCAAGGCAAGTTCCAGCAAAACGTTCTGCAAATTACTGACCTTGATTTCTTTCCAACTATAAACTATCCCAATCGATTTTGAGACGTACATTTCCCTCCCAGTATCAGCCTAGCCGATTTTTGAATGCAAATTTCCTCTGCATATAAGCCCCTCCAAAAATAAGGGCCTCAAAAAAGGCCTTTGAAAAATATCAACCCCAAAACATTTTCGGAATTTTACGGTAGATTAATTCAGTTCTATAGCCGAACAATTTATGATCTCTTATGATAAAAAGATATACTGGCTTGCAAAATTGCGATTTGATACAAGCACGAATCGTCAGAAGTACAAAAAAAAGTGATAAAAGTTGTAAGTAACTTTAACACCAGAATGATATAGTCGGGAATAGAAGTAGTAAAAAACCGAGGGATATTCAGAAAACAGTAGACGAAGCTAGGACATACATTAATTCAGTTTTATAGCTCAACAATTTTATGATCTTTTATGATAAGGAGATATAGTGGCTGATACAAGTGCAAATCGTCAGAAGTTAAAAATACGTGATAAGAGTTGTTAAGTAATTTTAACATCAGATATAGTCGGCAAAATGACATGCTTTTTAAAATGCTTTTTGTGCGAAATCGTCATCTCAGATTTATTAAAATAGCGAGTATTTAAAAAATGTCTTAAAACACTCTACTGAAGACCAATCTTTTAAAAGAAGCAGTATTTTGTTTGCATCTAGAAAAAGGTGTTAAAAGACCGTTTAATCAAGTAAAGCCACAAGTGTTAACTTACCAGTCTGAGTTTTATAAACGCTGGCACAGAAGTCCGAGTTGGATATCACCAGTACCACTGCCATCAAAACATTAATGGTCAGAAATACCAAACGAATGAGCCATGAGACTGCCATTGACGAAAATTTTTTGGCTGAGCTTCAATGTATGAACACTATTAATTATCAGCCTTATACAGTGGGTGTTTAGTTTAAGTTTAATTATAAAACTCTTTGGCGATGATAGTTCCCAAGCAAAGCAATTTATAATTCATGAGTGTTTTAATTTGTAACTACTAAATGAAACTGCTTAAAAAGATTTTACTTATAAGAGTCGAGCTTAACTTCATTTTCAAGTAAGCCTGTAAAAAAAGTGTACTTTTTTGTCCAAAGGAACGTCTCATTTTAAAAGAAGCCCCGCAAGATGAGAAAGCAGTAACATATGCAACGAGCGAATTCTTGTAGTAATACTGACGCCGCCTGAGAACGCGGGGTCCTTACATGTGACTGCTAAACTGAAAATTACCTTATTGCATGAAATTTTGGTGACACTTTAATTTCGCGATTTTTCTAAAAATCGCTGAATTAAAATACACCAAAATTAAGTGTCGCTAAATTAAAGTGAATACAAAAAGGAAATTCCGCCATCTGGTCAGTTTCACAATCATGCTATTTGTGTGACGATGTAAATGAGAGACGACTACATTAAGATATGACATTACGGTTGCAGTTTCGTTTGTTTCGATCAAAATTAAGTATCAGAACGTTGTATGATTTTGCGTTAAATGAAGCTATCGACGTCTATGATTTTATCGCATAAATGTTCTATTGTCGTCGTAAAAGTTTTGAATACGTATACCTTAATTGGCCAAAGTTTCAGTTCATGAAATCGCGAAAATTAAGTGACTTATGTTCCAAAATTTACGAAAAATCGCTAAATTAAAGTGTCGCCAAACTTTTATGTCATAAGATATTCACTATTCTGAATTATACTGATGATTTATGGTCAGACTCAATCGAAGCTGAAGGAAATAAATTAACTATTTCTTGTGCATATCTATTAAGCATTCATAGCGGTAAAATGAAAGAGAGGGGTGACTGAACCACTTATTGGTCTGAATAATCCATCTGCTAACTGCAGTATTGATACGGTATTTGAGGGTCTCAATAGTGTTAACCGTTAGGCGTAAAAAAATGTCAATCGTAAGAAATCATGGCATAAAAATAAATGTCCAAGGTCTACCTACACTATTAAAACTGACAAGTTGAAACAAATAATTCAAATAGTCGTGACTAATCACAATAGCTGTTTTCACCAATCTAAAGAGGTGAAAACGTCAACCCCCGAAAACGGTCAGAATAATCATGATTACGGAGTTGTTTTGACCCAATGTTTTAGTTAATGTATGATAGGTCAAAATGACCCTGATGAAAAGTTAGTTCCTACCCAAGATAGTAGTTTCAAAAATGTAACTATTATATTATGTTGCGCAATGTTATCCTTAAAAGTATAAAGCTAAGAGTGACTTAGCTTGAGAAAACAGCCGACCTTTCGTGAAAGTGGTGACGTTGCGAAATGTCGGCTGTTTTCTCGGCTAAGAGTGACTGCTCTTGGGGTTTATTCTACTCATTGCTCAGGAAAGTAGATAATCAGACCTATGTCAAGTCTTTTCTAAACAAGTCGATCATTAGTAATATTTAACAATTAATGAACGAGGCTGAGTATCTTACGAAGAATTATGGAGATCGAGGAGGGTGTTATCCGCCTTGGCCTACGGCCTCGACGGATAACACCCTCCGAGATCTCCACAATTCTTCATTTGATACGAAAGCGAATTCAATAATTGTTTTATTATCCATTTAAAATAATTCCTAGTTTAAAAATAAAGCTAAAACATGCTTACCTCCATCGATGTTAAGTTCACCTTCGATAGTGCACGTTTAGCAGATGTCGCCCTTCGAGTTGTGTTCTGGCTGTTCTTGCCATGTTTTTAGCTATAACTTCGCCTAGTTCTTACTCTTGAAACGAGTGAAATGTCCGCCATTTTTTTTTCACAACCAAAACAACTCAACCTCGTCCCCAGGTCTTCTCAGTTAACGGTGCCTTAACCTGCAAGAACGCTGCATTTTTGACGTCATTTCCTCGTTAAACAGAAAATTCTTCCAAATTTGGTCATCAGTAACTGGTTATGGTGAATTATGCGTGTGCTTTTAGCCAATCAGAATCGGGGAAATATTTTGAATGAATAATAATAACTGTTAAGGGTTTGATCCTAGACGACCCTCAAGCTACCAAGTTTCAACACCACGGCAAAACGCACTGTGCATGAGCACAAAATTTAACATCCGGTCAGCTTTTTATTTCCGGTCTAGTATATAAACCAATTGCGTAAGCATAACTTTGCCGTCGCGCCAAGCTTAAAAGCAAAAAGAGAGAAAGAGACAAAAAAGGGGGCGAAAAAAACAACTTCATTCGATAGCCGATATATTTTTGTAGTGTCAAACTTTTGCACCACATGGTTATCTGCTTGCACCAACGGTGAAAATGATGTTTGAAGTTGCAGGTCGCGAGCGCTGGCATAAGTTAATTTAGGAGAAGGCGACAACTAAGAAAAGAATAACAATACTTATGAAAGAAACCAAAATAAAGACGTCATCATTATCATTAACACCAAAACCAGGAAATAACATTTTAGTCCGCTTAATAGTCTTTTTATTATCAGAGAAAACAAGAACTCAAAACAAAAGATGGGCGGGATTCAATAACAGTTTCGACTTTGATGACTACAGTCACGAACACCCGGAGTTTCAGTGCCGGGAAACTAAAAATGCCTATAAATGAC